CGAGATGTAGAGCATTGTCTCATCTCCCCATGGCGATGAGCTGGAGCAGTGCATGGCAGGGCTGGTTCCTGGGCTCTGCAGATCCAGCCTCTTCCTCCTCTGCACCTTCCAGCTGACCATGTGGGCAGGTCTCCTCTTACCAAATCCAGCTCCTCCTCAGCCTGTGCTTTGTTTAATCCCGTGAGTGTGAACAGTTCATGATCTGTTAAAGAAAGAACCCTAAAGTTGGGAGGGAGAACAGCCAGGGGAGGTGGCCTCACCTGCAGGTGAGTGATAACCTGTCAGCCTTTTGGGCAGCCCAGCCCCTGCACTGCTGAAAGGAGTTTCTCTCTCCAACTGTTGTCTTTCCTCAAGCAAATGAAATTGATGCTCTCAAACCTATAGTTCAGGGCCTTCTACACCTGCAGACCTCTTCCTCTCAGCTGCCAGGAGGCTGCAGGACCCCAGCCCTGTGTGAGTCTGTAAAGCATTGCCTCTCCTTGCTTCCAGGCCACTTGCTGAGCACTGCAGAGGTGGAGTCAGCCTTGCTCGAGCATGCCGCCATCTCAGAGGCTGCGGTGGTCAGTCACCCACACCCCCTGAAAGGCGAGTGCATCTACTGCTTTGTGACCCTGAGAGATGGCCATGAGTTCACCAAAAACCTGATGGATGAGCTGAAAAAACAAGGTAACAACAGCCAAATATTTGGGAGGTTACATAGCAGGGAGAGGGAGGACAGTGTTGGGCGGGTGATGGAGGGGTTAAAGGCTTGGGTGCTTGATGAGGGTGCGTGTAGTCTGGGGAATGCAGCGTGGACAACTGCGACAAGGTGCCCCCTCTGATTAGAGAGCACGGCTGGTGAAGACTAAAATTAGTTCTCCCGGCCTTTGGCTGCTCATGTGATGCCATCTCTACCTCTAGGGAGCTGGCAGCCACATGAAGGACTGGGGTACCCAGCAGGCTTTCATTTGCAGCAGTGCTCTCCTGTGTGGGCACGGCTCTTGCTGGTACATTTTGACTTGCTGCAAGGATCATTTGGTTGCTTTGGGGTAGTGCTCTGGGCATCTGTGCTCTGATCTCAAGAGAGATCTTCTGTTGCTATATGCAGCATTTAATACATGAAATGGACCTGTGGCAGTTTATTCTCCGTAGGGACCCAACAGCAAATCAGCCCTTGCTCTATCAATATGGTAATGGTGATTGCTCTAGCCATTATAAAGGTCTCTTGAAGATGGAAAGAATGAAAAAATGAGTGCTCTTGCCTTTGGGAAAATGTGCTTATAGCCCCATTGGCATTGCAGGTCTTGCTGCCCCCTCCCACAGCCCAGAGACTTGGGTGCAGCAGCCCTAAGAACTGCCCTACCATGTTCCCCAGGAGCTGGGCTCTGCATGTCTTAACTTGGTCATCCTGCCTGAAAAGGATGTGTGTGGTATCTCCTAGTACCTACAGTGAAAATTGTTATGGTTTTTTTTTGCAGTCAGAGAAAAAATTGGACCGATAGCAACGCCTGATTACATCCAGTATGCCCCTAGCCTGCCCAAAACCCGCTCAGGTAAGGGGCCCAGTGACAGTTCTGGGGAGAACTGAGTAGTTCCTGCCCGTGGAAGGAAATCAGCCCTAAATTGCTTGTCCAGGGCCACTCAAATTCAGGGGGGGAGCAACCTCAGGGCAAGCAGGATGCCACAGGTCTGGGCACTCCCCACTCCTGCTAAGGATGCTGAAGAGATCCTGACTCCTGCTTTCCTTTCATGGCTGTCATTACAGGAAAGATTACCAGACGGATATTAAGAAAGATTGCCAAAAATGACCAAGATCTGGGGGACATCTCCACTTTGGCAAACCCAGGCATCATAAAACATCTTTTCAACAGCAGATGTGACACTAAACAGTAGCAGCATGACCTGTCCCTGCTGAGCGGAACGGTAGCAGCAGCAGTGTCCTGATGAGCAGGTCCCTTGAATAACCGCTGTCTGCCCTGGAAAGGAAACCTTCACCTGTTGAATGTACAAACATTATGAACGAGGGAAAGGCTGGCTCTGGAGAGGCTGTGTCTCACTGGCATGTCCATGCATTGGAGGAGTGTGTGCATTGTGTTCCAGATGGGTATTGTACATCTGAGGTTCAGCCTTGTGCACAGAGGGACTTGTCCTCCTCCCTTTTCAGCACCTCGTTCTTGAGTTTGTTTGTTTTTGGGTTTTTTTGGGGGGGGGGGGGGTTAATTAATTTTATGTAATTGAGGGGCCCTGGCACCTTGTGCACTGTGGGAAGGAACTTTGGGGGTTGGAGGGGAAGTGGTGCTGGAGTTACTCAATGCAGGCAGGCAAGGGAGGTGCATCTGCCACTGCTCACATGCCAGCTAAGCTTCCTTTTCTACTAGGAGTGCTGCAAGCAGCAGGAGAACTTAAAAACACTCTCACATCATAACTGTAGCTGAGTTTTAGTCTTGCATCCACTGTCCAAGCCTGTTGCTAGCAGAGGTCCCCTAGCCTGAAAGGGAGTGAGGCAAGGCTCAAGGGAGCTCTGTGCTTTAAACAGGTTTTTTTTAGAGCAATTTGATACCAAGATCTGCTACTTCCTAACTGCCTGGTGCCAGCTGGTGTGTTTTTCCAATCCAGGGTCCTTCACTGGCCATGGACACGATCAGAAGCCACGTATGGTCTTGGAGGAAAAGTCTTGGTCTGACATGTTCCACAGAGCACCCCTTCCACCTGCTCTGCTGCCACCAGCTACAGCTGAACTCAGGTTGCACAGCTGGATGCTCCTTTTGTGTCCTGGGGTAGGAGTGGGTGCTGTTGATTCCAAAGAATGGAGGGGAAACAAAGCCATGCAGAGGCACCTTACCCATTGCAGGCAAACCAGGCGCTGGGTTATAGTGCACCACAACCATTGCTACAGCAAACAAACCAAGGCAGGCAGGGCTGTGTTAGTTCTAGATAATGTTTTCTCATCAGGAAAAAAAAATGGTGGAAAGTCAGCTTTTGCTTAAATCTGACATAGCTTTATGATGATGAGAGGAAAAAACCCCAAAACTCTAGCCCAAGAGCCTAAGCATCACAGGGGTACTGCCAAAGGCATTCTTCTTCAAATGAATTATACTTAACTCCAGCCCTGGGTTGAGCTGGGAGAGATACCTCCTTTGTAATATCTGTATGAAAATTGCATGTGAACTGTTTGATTTTGCACTTAAACCAAAGGAGAAATGGGCTTTAAAACTTGTTGCAACAGCTGTTTTGGCGAGTGCCAATGTACAGGCTTCACCTGCAAACGGAGCTGACTTTTGGCTGGGCTAGAAAGGATGAGGCAACTGCCTCTGAGGCTGGCTGCTCAGGGCAAGTGTTGCAGGTGCTCTGTTGTCCAAGTCCCAAGTCTCACTTCTTACCTGCTGCTCTCACTGGCACAGCACTTGTCTGTGATCTATAACCTCACTGAGTGCCAGCGTCCCCCACAGCTCTGTACCACTGGATGGTGCCACCTTATTGACAAGGATTCCTACATTATCTCTCCTCTGTTACTCTTTGTCTGCTATGTAATTTTGGCTGGAAACAGCTAGAATTTTATCCCAAATGGAATAAAGTTCAAGGAAACAAAATGGAAACAGGCTTAGAGTGTGTGCATGGGTTGTCTGCTGTTGAGCCTGGGGGAGATGGGGGGGCTCAGACATTGCTGTTGGACCTGCCATGCCTGCCCCTAACTGGGGTATGCTTTGGGGGATGTGGAGAGGTAGGTTATTGCCAGTGTGATGCTTTTTCATGGACTGGGATTTACAGGCTGTGACACAGTTCATGCTGCTGCTCTGCACTGGGGCAAGGGCAGAAGCTCTGGCTCCAGGGCTGGAGCCTGTACTTCAGTTTTTCCCTTGTCTCCAGCCAACATTGTTCCACTAAGGCTCATGGAAAACACAAAACAGTGCAATAGCCATCTGTCATCAACCCCCCCTCCCCCCGCATAGGACCAGTGCCAGGGAGATGGACAAGCACCCACTGTGAGCAGCCAAGGAAGCTCAAGGCTGTTGATAGCTGTCTCGCCTCCACACCAGGCCTGGTCCTCACCCAGGCACAGCAATGGATACCAGCCTCTGCCTCCACTCTGTGGTCCCCCATGTCACCTTGGGCTCAGGCCTCACCAGCAGCTGCCTCCAGCAGCTCAGGAGCACTGCTACAGTGCTCTCCTGCTCCTCACAGCTGCCATCTAACCTTGTGCCCTTGCTGCTCCAACAAACTGCACAGTCACAGCTCCAGGCTGGGAGCGTTTCCTCCTGGAGATAGTCTTCCTGGCACCCCTCACTGCAGCAGATCTCCATCCAGTGGTGCTGGGCCAGTGCTGTGGAGCCAAGTGCCAGGACACATCTCCAACATGGTGCTGTGCAGCCCTACAGCAACCACAGCAGAAACTGGTGGGTTGGCTTTAGCTATCCCTGGTGTGAAGGTACATGAAAAGGCCATGCACAGGTGTACACCTGACCAGGGAGGAGGCAAACACCTCCCCTTCGCATCTAGTCTCAAGCCAAAACTGGCACAAGAACAGCATATGTTTTAATCTCTGGCTGGGGGTAATCACCCCCCCCCCCAACAAAACCACCACCCAGGAATTGTAGAATCAGTCACACTTTTATAGAACTGAACTGTTTCAAGGTGAAAGACTGATGATTGAAGCACACAGCACTGCTGCAATACACCCAGCAAGGTGCAGGTCTGTCAATCAGCATGTTCATTCTTCAGGAACACTGGTTTTATGCTGCTTCTCTCTGGTGTCACTAGAAGGGTAGAGCTGAGGCTGCCTGGGCGCTTTACCAGGGCACTGCCAGCAAGGTGCATCTTTTATGTTTCCCCTTGAACTGCGTGGCTGAGAAGAACAAGGCAAAAGCCCATGGATAGAGAGACTGCACTCCTCTGTCCCTCTGCTGCTGCACTGTTCCCACTGATTCATGAAACCTGGAGGGAGACATGTCTCACCATCCACAGGTGCTGGTCCCAGAGTGAAGTGCTTGGCAGCTGGGGCTGTGCCCACTCACCCTCTCCTACCATTCCTCTGCTTCCTTGCCACAGCACCCAGACTCGGCCCATCCCATGTCCCAGCAGGACCATTACTGAGGCTGGGGCTCCCTGACACTGCTTTTGGGCTGGGCTGTACATGCTGCAGCAGACTAGCTGGGAGATGCTCAATGCATGACTTGCAGTGAGATGCACTGGCACAAGCCTTTGGGGATTCAGGGTTTATCAAAATACTGGCTGTGACAGAAGGCTCCAATTTAGCATCACACTGGGATCTGCCACCATCATTGAGGGATTCTTGTGCCATGTCATGGGGATCTGTTGGACAAGGCTGCAGGAGGCAACAGGAGCAGATGCAGCCTTGTCTAGCACAGAGGCACCATTTGGGCTGAGTACCGAGTCCAACAAAGCAAGCAAGAGGCCTTTGGGCAAATTACACAAGGGCAGCTGTCCCTTGTGCAGGAACCCTGAGGATCCTCAGGCACAGGGAAGAGTAGAAATTGGGGCTGGAGGGGCCATGGGCATGTGGAGCTAGGCTCCTCTCTTTAACCTGGAAAGCACTGAGGCACTGGGCCACAAATCCCACAGATGAAGGCTGTTACTTACACATACACCTTTCTTCTCCATTCCCTAAGCTTTGGGGTTGTGTGTCTCCAGAAATAACCCAGGACCAAGGAGCACAAAACTGGGAACAGCATGAGTGCTTGTTGTGGCACGTTCACCCTTCAGCTTTGCTGTACCAACCCCTGCCCACAACCTAGACCCCAAGGGAACACCCAGACCAATGCAGTGCTGAGATAACAGCTGGGACACATATGGGGCAGGGCCCCCTGAGCAGGCAGAGCAAGAGAGTCCCTTCTTCCTGCAGGAGGAATTGCAGAGGAGAAGCTGGGGCTGGCACACAGGACGTTTGAGCAGTTTTGTCCATGCAGTCCCTCATCACAGTCCCCAGCACATCAGACCTTGGTAAGCACACCCTAAGGAGAACATCCCTGTGGCAGATCAGCTCTTCAGGCAGCAGAGTGAGGCGGGCAGGATGGGGCATCACCTCCTCACACCAAGTAAGGACTGTCAAGCACTGCTACCCCAGCTGCTACCCCACCATCTGCATGCTCGATTGCCTTCGTCCGCAGGAGGTGGCCGGCGGCCTTGTTCATCACCATCTCCTTATCCTGTCTGCAAAGAAAAGGGCAACTGAGCACCTGCAGAGCAGAAAGCATATGGCATTCCATCTTGGACAACTTGATTCATGTTCCCTGCCACAGCACGGGGCAAGTAACCAGCACATAAAAGCCCTGAGGCTAATGCAGAGGTCTCTACAGACAACAGTTGCGCCTGTTTTGTGCCTGCCAGCAACAGTGCCCTTTTTCAGCTGGGCCATTTTGGTCTGATTGCTCTGCACATAGGCAGTGTCAGGTTCTGAATGCTGCCAGAGTACATTTGTTTCTAAAATTGTACGAGAAGGACTTTAATTTATAAGCTATGGAAACATTTCTATGGGCCTATGAGTGTTTTAAACAAAACCAGCAGCTATTTAGGGTAGAACACGACTGCATTAAGCCTTCAGGTATTTCTGAGATCGCCAGGGCTTCAGAAAAGCATGTGGCTGCATCCAGAACCCAAAAAGCGCTCCCAGAAATCAGGATGAGACACACCAGTTCCACATGGCTGTTTGTTACACCAGTAACTGCCAGCACCAGCTCTATGGTTTTTCAACAACTCGTTTGGCAGCAGGTACAAAGCAGCAGTTCAGCGTCTGAACACAGTGCTCAGAGAACTGCTGACAGGGGCAGAGACTGAAGGGTCACATCTGTCACCTGTACCTCCACCTCCCCAGAGACATCTGCCCTGCTGCTATGCTCAGACAGCACAGAGGGGAAAACACTCCCAAACCAAGTGCAAGCTGGAGCAGGTAACCACCCTGTTACACAAGCACGTTTCTCACCTGACATAGACACCAAAAATACCGAGCTCTGAGATGCACTCAGACACTTGTAGGGGACTGTGAGCCCTCAGCAAGTAATTCATTGCTGGCTGTGGTTTGATCTTATCCATCAAGATGTAGGAGGTTCTCTCAGGGCTGTCTCTGATCTTCTCCAGAACCTGCCTGAGCTCTTCCCCATAGAGGTTGTTCCCTGACAACAAAACCAGCAAGTCAAACACTTCCCAGCACAGCAGAAGCTGTTGGCCCCAGCTATGCAGCCTTGGCAGCTCAAAGAGACCCAGCCTTTGCCTCCCCACACCCCAGCTCTGGGGCCTTAGGGAGCTCCTCCAGGAGCAGCACTACCTACGGCCATAACTAGTCCCCATGGCTACAAGTAGCTACAAGCCACCCCACCCCACCTTTTATCCCTCAGCACAGGACCAGGTACCATCACAGAGCTACTGCCTCTCCTGGATACAGCACAAACCGCAATAAAAACCCACACGGACCCAGTCCAACTCATACCTCCACCTTCTCGCTGTGGCTTCAGCACAAACCGGTCAGGGTCAGCGATAGCTGCAGCAGCTATTTTGTCACCCTCTTCGCCCTGGTAGGAAAGGATGGCAACAGCAAAGCATCAGGGAGGAGCAGGGGCTCCTTGACAGACCCCTCTGTCAGGGGTCAGGATCAACAGGGTCTCCCAGGGACCACAACAAAGCCCTCTCATCTTCTTAACCAAAGAGAAACATCACACAGGCCAAACACACGTCTGCACATTTGTTCCTGCTCCAGCCCCACTCACACTCACCATGTCCAGGGAATAAAGTCCAGCAAACGTTGCTCTTATTCGAGCGATAGCCTCGGTGCGGCCAGGCAGTAATCTCTCCAGCGTCCCTGGCCGGCTCAGCTCCTGCTGGACCTTCTTGGTGCCTGCAAGTTGGGTAGCAATGTCAGGGCACTTCACTGCCCTCGATCTCTCCAGCAGCAACCGTGCCTCCCAGTTCTGAGACAGAAAGAGAGAAACCATCCCATCAGGACAAAAGAAAAAAAAAAAAAGTAGGTTTTCTATACTCTTTTCTGTTCAGTTATTGACATATGATTTGCTTCCTCCCTCCCTCTCTGGCAGGGATGGGGGGCGGGAATAGCACTCCAGAGACAAGCAGACATGCATACATGGATTTCCCACCACCTCTGGAAACAGCACAGCCAGGTTAGTCCACTGTCTTTGCCTCCACCCCCTCCCCAGCTTGTCCAGTGCTGCCACCTCCAGACAACAGTAAGATCTGGTCTGTATTATTATTACTTGCAGCCTAATGGTCCTAGCAGAGGACAGTGTGATCTGCAATCAAGTCTAAACCCTTTGAGCAGGTGCCAATACCTGTGTTAACGCACATTGTACAGAAGCAATTCAGTGCTTTGGTAAGACGTCACCACATTACTGGTTATTGGAGAAGAAAGCCACTCATTTTTCTTATCACGTGAGTGCCAGGGACACCCACATGCACTGCAGAGTCACAGCTTCCTGATGCTATCAGCCACGCTGGACAGGACTAACCCCATTCAGGACAGGACAGAGGCCCCTGGGATCACAGGGCATTTCAAACTCGCTGGCAAGGCCGCAATGTGGGCAGGAAGAGCGGTCAGTACTGACCTGCTGGTCGTAGTTCTTTGGCACGTAGCCCTCTCTGTAGTACACCACTGCTACCTCCTGGCCGTCACTGGAACAGAAACCAGAAGCATTCACAGAACCAGGCCAGTCCTTGCCCACCTCTGCCTGAACCCCCCAGGACCGGGGGGCTGCAACAGGGTCAGGCAGACAACACATTGCAGCATTTGCCCCTTCTCTTTGGCCTCCTGGGCTGTTCTGCTCCTGGCTGGCTCTGCCAGAGAAAGCCGAGGACTGCAAGCCCTGGCTCCTCTCCGCTGAGCCCCAGCTGGCTTGCCCTGTCCTGAGACACGGGGAGCTGACACCTGGCCTCTGCCCTGACTAGCCAAAGTCTCAATTAGTTCAGGCACCCAGCCCAGCAGGACGGTAAGAACCTAAATTTTTTTAATAGCTTTTGCCACCAGGAGCCAGGCCTGGTTGATTCTTGAAGCTGGGAGGGAACAGGGTCCTTCTCTGGTGGCAATTCAAGGCAGAACATCAACTCAACAACCTACCCAGGCACCAAAACATCCTGCCAGGGCAGGGCTGTCAGCATACATGTAGCACCACACCCCCAAGCTTTGGCCACTGAAACTGTGTGCACAGTCAAGGAAAGCAGCACAGAAACTGCTGGCAGCCAGGCAGTGTAATTAATTGTAAAGGCATTCATCAATAAGAGGAGAGGATGTTCTGGAGGAAGTACAGTGGATACACTTTCCCCTTAACTGTCTGACGATGACAAATGTTATTCACTAATTAAACACAGCAGAGGCACCAAAGGTCAAACCATGGAAAAACTAGCCTAACTACAGAAAAAAAAAACCATTGGCATGAAACCATATCTTCCTTTAGGCTTGTACAGCTCCAAGCACATTACCCTGGAAACAGGACAAATGTCACGCTTGGGACCAACTACCAGCACTTGGAGTCTACGACCTGCACGTCCTGGCCTCCACAGGGAGCGGGCAAGACACTGAGTGCATTCAAAACCAACAGATACCATAAGGACATGTAACGCTTCCTCCTGTAGCACTAGTAACTCAGCCCAGCTCCCACTGGCAGAGCATCACGTGAACGGTAAACAGGAAATGTCTTTGTGGAAGCCTCTGAAATAGCCAGGACTTTTCATAGCAGATGTATGTGGAGGAAGTGAAGATCCCACAGAGCTCTGAAGGCTGCAGCTTGAAGGAGGGAAATTATGTTTCCAGCTGTAAGGGACTGATGTGTGTATGCAAAATCTCACCACTGTGAAAACAAAATTATTTCAGCTCTAAGGGGAAGCAGCAGCCTGGAGCATGGAAGAGAACTACTTTCTCAGAAAGTCACTATTTACACTCAAAACATACCACCAGCTCTGTTTGAAAATTCCCATTTACAGCCCTGTGTGCCCAACACACAGCCAGGAACGCGCACCTTGGCTCATACTCACATATACAGCCTCTTGGCATCATCCAGAGACCCCTTTTCAAACACATCTCTGAAGCGCTTCCTGATGACCCGAATATTCCTGTTAAGAGAAGAGTAAGAGAGTCACCAGGCTGCCAGAACACTGCAGGAAACAGAACACATGCCTAAACACTCTGGATTTTTCCATACTCACCTTTCACCTCCTAAGTTTCTAAGAGATGTCAATATTTTGTTTTTTTTTTAATCCCTACACAACAGATTCACTCACTGTTGGCTTCAAAGCCAAGAGCTGCAGACAGACAAGTGACTTCCTGCAAGTTTTATCTCCTTTAAGCTTTATAGTCTTCCCTCCACACAGCGGCAGTGTGGACTTGCTGATCTGGAGACCGTGCCATACACCTCCCACTGCTCTAGCACAGGTCCTGGGCTAGATCTCATCAAAGCACTTCTTTCTCCCAAGTTCTTTACTCCACTGCCGCGTTGCTTACTTTGCCCAGATCTTTCACAATGGGTTTGAAGCTTTGTTAATTTAGCTTTTGTTAAATACCCTGTGCCCAATCCCAAGTCAAAGAGCAAGCAGGACCCTCATTAACCCCGCTCTGCTCCTTATTGTCCTGCCTAAGAGACATGGCCCACAGAAAAGCTACCACTGGTGCAGCTCTGAGGACTACACAGGCACAAAATCAGCAAGGAATCAGCCCTGGAAACCAGAGGCTTTGATGGCTGCTGGTATTTCCAGCAAAGAGCTGGTGACAGGCTTTGGGAGGCTGGTGAGAAGACAAAGGTGGGTGCTGAGGCTAGGCAGGAGGCCACCAAAGGAACGCTGAAGAGAGCTGCATAACAGACCCCAGAGAAGTCCAAGATAAAGGCTGCCCTGTTACATACTAAGACATGACCCCTCACAGTCCCAGAAATGATAAAAGTGTTTTTACTTCATCCTTGAGTAGGTGACAAAGTAAAAAGCAAACAGATTCTGCACACCTCCATCTTTCCCTGGCCTGCTCCTATGCTCCCACTGACACGCTGTGCCTGCTGGAGAGCCTGGAGATGCCCCACAAGCTGCCTTGAGGTAAAGACTGTGATCTGGCAGCAGTTCGCTCTGCTTCCCTTTTCCAAAACTACCATCTCCTTTCTTTCCCATCCCAGGAAAATTCAACCTTTACCTGTTCCAAAGCTCATTTTCTATACATCGCTGATCAAAAATGTTCCTCTGGACTTCTTCCACTAGAAACATCACCACAGCACTGGAAGAGATACCAAGGACATCATTAAACCCAGAATCACTCCACATGCACCCAGGACCACTAACTTTTGATCTCTGTGATTCAGGCTTCCTGCACTGCTCCTGCTCATTTTCTCCAGTGTTTCTAAGGGTCAGCATGCAAATGGAGAGCAGTACCGATCCTGCATAATTACCAAACCAGCGGGGAGCACAAGCACAAGGGCAGGAGGAAAAGCAAGCTCTGCACAGGGTTGTTAAACCACACAACTTCTCCAGGGTCCCTCTGCACCTCTCCGCCTTTGTGACACAGCAGCCTTGTGCGCTAAGACAACCACATTGCTCTTCCCAGGGTGCCACAGGCTTTTCAAGAGCAGCTTGTCTTGCAAACAGGCATCTTTCAGAAAGCACAATTTCAAAACTTAACACATGCATCCCCAGGGGAGACAAGATAACCCAGCCTCCAGCACTTCCTCTGTCCTTACCTTTGGGAACCGTAGAGCTCCCAGGCTTTCGCAATACCCAAGGCAAGCCCTTTCGATGGGTTGTTGGGCAGCAGGCGTGATGCCTCCTCAGACTTTCCCAGCATTTTCAACACCCGCCTATGGAACAAAAAAAAGTTATAAATGCCCTGACCAGACCTAGGGAGCAGGAGTTTGAAGCACACACAAAGACACGGAGTGCAGCAGGCCATGTGGTGCGGCTGCTGCAGCGCCAGGCAGCATGAGCCAGAGATGCTCCCTTACCCGTGGACTGCTGCAGTGCGGGAGGTGAGGCCTCCAAAGCTGGCAGCAATGGTGTTTATTTCTATCTGCTTCAGAGCTGGCGTCCCATCCACCCCACAGTCAAACATGTAATCAGAGCGGTTTATGCCTAAAAACACAGACTGAAACAGAGGGGAGGTGAAGCGGGCTCTCCTGTTGCCTTTAACTGCAAATCCCTTTGATAATCTCACTTCAGAATCCTCCTGGGGCAGATCCTGTCACCGTCATTTTGATAAAAACCTCTGCAAGACATGCCTGTGAGTGCTTTGGCCCTTGCTCAGGGCCCACAGCCCTCCTCAGTACTCCAGAAGAGTTAACTACAGTAGTGAGGGTAAAGGAGCTTCTGCATGGACAGCCTGTCCGGCACAGGTCCCAACATGGCACACGTCCTTGCGCTCTCCTGACTCCCAGAGGACAAAGACAAATCATGTTAAATCCTCCCAGTCAAGACTGACTGTCTCCAGTATCACTAACCAAAGGGCATGACTGTCAAACAGGGCAAGGTCCTGAGTTCACAGGCTGTAACCAAGGCACCATAGCGCAGAGAGTGACCGGCCTGACTACAGGACAGTTAAAAGCCCACAGCAGCAAGCTTGCAGACAGAGATCAGGCAATCCCACCACAATGCAAAGGGGCACGGCTGTTGACAGCTGGGGTCTCCTGCCAAGGTACCTGAGACAAGCCTTCCTCCAAAACTTGCATGTGGATTCTGAAGAGTTGAGCTGTGAAGTCATCTACCTTGATGGTGCTAGAGAGAAAGAAAGACCAGATCAGCCCCCTTACACCATCACAGGGGAACAAGAAAATTAATTGCTCTCTAGAAAAAAACCTTAGCATGGACAGTTTTAAACTGAAAGAGGGTAGACTTAGATTAGATGTGAGGAAGAAGTTCTTTATTGTGAGGATGGCGAGACACTGGAGCAGGCTGACCTGAGAGGTTGTGGATGCCCCATCCCTGGAAGCGTTCAAGGCCAGGTTGGATGGGGCTTTGAGCAACCTGGTCTAGTGGAAGATGTCCCTGCCCATGGCAGGGTGGTTGGAACTAGATGGCCTTTAAGGTCTCTTCCAACCTAAACCATTCTATGATTCTATGACATTCTCCGGCACAAATGGCAGGGCTGTAGTTAGATCAAGTTCTACAGCACTGTTAAGCATCTCACCATGAATGCACTCTTCATCAAGGGCCACAGTTCATAACCATAATGCAAATCTAGTTTGCTCAGCACAGCCATTCTACGAAAAGTGCTGCTGTAAGAGGTGACTTTCATTTGCAGCGCAGAGAGATGGGGCAAGCAAAAGCAAAGAAATGCAGAATTCTGCAGAAACAGGAAAGAAATCAGAAGTCTCTGTGCCTGCACACAGAGTTCATACAACAAGCTGCAAGAGCTTCATCAAATTCCCCATCCTGTTGAGCTCCAAATCCTGCACACTGTGGTGCCAAGTGCTCCAGTGGTCACAGGAGAGCAGGTCCGGCTTTTCTTCAGGGTCCCAAATCCCTGAGCCAATTGTGAGCAGCACCTCCAAGGAGCTGCCCCGAGACACTGAGCGGGAGTTGGTACAAGGCAGGCGTCTGAGTGCACGGAAGCCCCAGGCGCTGCGTTCTTTAACCACAAGTATAAACATGTCCCCAGACACAAGCTCTGGTTGCAGCCAGCTCTGGAGCAAGCGCGAGCATTAAAGCAGCTCTGAGGGGTCAGGCTTTAGCAAAACAAGAAGGACACTGGAAAACAGTCTACTTTGCTCTGTCCCAGTGCCAGTGAGCCAGCAGCACCTGCACAGACAGGCAGCAGGAAGGGAAATGGGTTTTGTGGAAGCATCAGCGCTACTGATCAGACTATGGGGGCCACAGTCAGGGATGGTCGCTCCAGCACAGGGCAACAACCACAGGTAAAGCCAGCAGAGTTCACAACCCAGAGCTGAGCAGTCCTCCAGCACCCAGAGCTTGCAGGTCACCTCCCCAGCATGGCTGGGAAAGCAGGGGACACAGGGTGACTGATCAGCAGTAGGGGGAAGGAACAAACACCTCTTCATAACTGCAGGCAGGCAGCAGAGCTGGTGGTTATCGGATAGCCACAGGCAGATACAAAACAAGACCAAAACAGACTACTAAATCTAGGACTCAAAGAAGCCTCCAGCAATTTGAATTTAAGGTCCAGGAGCCCACAAACTCACAAATAAGAATTCACAAGCTTAAACACTGGCAAAATTTAAGATCATTGCAGGGAGTCAACTCTTGGCCAGATATCCCATCTTCTGAGGCCCAAGGAGACCCCAAAACACCAAGACTTGATGGAAATTAATCTTAGGACAAATAACATAGCAAAGGAGACAACTTCTGCAGAGGACAGGAGTGCCCGCCTCAGCTTGAAGGACATGAACGGATGGAAGGTAGGAATGCCTGAAAGATGATCAATGCTTTGCATTTAAAATATTTCATTAAAAGGCAACATGCAAGAACGTTACCTGGCCAGAGTACGCTCCAGGAATTCTTTGTTTTGACTAATAGCATCCACTAGCAGGTTAAAATCTTGCTGAACAGCATATGCTTGTTCAAACAGGGCACTTGGTACTGCAGACGGAAGCAGTGTGAAGGGAGCGTAATTCACCACCTGCAAACAAGGATGGAGCAGCAGAGCAGTCAGGTCTCTGCAGTTTAAGTTGGGCTAAAGAGGTGCTTCCTCTGCTTGTCTGAAGTCACCCCCAGCCCTCCTCAGCGCACCCTGAACAGACACATGGCCTCAACCCTGCTGACCCCTGACTTTTGAGGGCTTTGCTTTACAAGCTGTCCACAGGGCACTGTGGAGGCCGAAGCAGGTGCTCCAGAGCTCAAGCTGGGCTGAGTGCTTCCTTCTGAAGGATGCTTTGTTTCCACCTTAACTGGAGAGCACTGTCTCCAGAACACCTCTCTTTCAGAGAAAAGGTGAATTTGCCAGTCCTGGGTTTTGGCCATCAGAGTCGCTTCCTTTGATCCCTGCTCACTGAGTCCCAGGGGCGACTCTGGACTCCTGGTTCACCCCACAGCTCAGGCACAGGGCCACCCTCAAAGACAAAACATTACACCAGAAAGAATTTCCCAATTCACCTTGATTTTTACATAAGACAAGGGACACTGGCAGCGTGTTTGGCCTCTCCTCCCAGCCTCCCTCTTCCTCTCACCCTTCGAGGTTCCCTCACACCCCTGACCTGACCATGGCGTTGACATCAAGGAGCAGACCCCGTGGTGGAGACCTCCCTTCTCATACCTCTGTCAGCTCCCAGCACAGCTGCCTGCTTGCCCCCAGGCTCCTTGGGGACCCATCCCCGATGGTGTCCCACCCCTCTTGCACAGGGGTACTTCTTCCTCTGAGATCCCTCACAGTAACCCCCTCCAACAGGCCGAGCCCCCCATCAGCACCCCTGCCCCAGCCAGCTGCCACAAATTCACCAGAGGTAATCCCGCGCATCAGCCACCCCCAACCCCATCGCCTCGTCCCAGGTATGGGGGGAAGGTCGACTTGTAGCCGGGAGCAGGCCAAACACAGAGGCCCCTCCGAGGGATGCTCCCCGGGTTCAAAGGATCGTACGGGTGTCGAGAAGCTGGGAGAGGGATGAACTCCCACCACCACATACAGGCAGGGCTCTTGGCAATTTCCCAAACCTTTCCAGATCTATCCCTCTCCTTGGAAAAGGGGAACTGTATCGCAGGGCGGTCTCTAGGGGAGGCGCAGTCACGAGCAGGATGGGGTGCGAGTTACAGCCCCCAGGTCGGTCGTGCTTCAGCCGCGCTTCAGCCAGGCAGCCGGCTGCTCGCCGCAAAGCAATGCGCGCTGACCAGGGCGCAGCAAACCCAGGGATGGCAGCCAGCTCCTCCCCGCGCTCCTCTCGCTTTGCTGACTCACACCCCGGCCAGGATCGAACACGTCCCGTGACTCCGCTCCGGCACTTACATCCGACGCGTTGGGCTCCCGCTCGGTCCGCATCAGCACACCTTCCAGGAGCGCCGCGTCCACGGCCACCGACGCTGCCTCCTGGATGGCCGGCTCGTCCCGCAGGACGTCTTCCCAGGGCGCGGCCATGGCCAGCGCTGAGGAGGCAGAGCAGAAGTCACCCACCTGGCCCCCCGCGCCTCACCTTCTTTCCCAAGAGGCAGCCTGGCCCTGGCCTCTCGGGGGGGCGGCGGCGGCGGGCAGCCCGGGAGGGCCGGGCAGCACAGAGTTCAGCGCCGCCCTCGCTGCCCACCTCGGGCGCGGCGGCGGCGGCGGCCACACAGGGGCCCCGCGCCGGACGAAGG